TATATAGTCAATTTGATTTACTGATAATGATTTACCCTTATTTAAAGAAGGGCCACCACATATATGAGTTAGCTAATTAAATTCATGAATTCAGGATCTTTTCGTGAAATTAGACACCTGTTTCCAGTTCACCTTGTTGATGCACTTACCTTCTGGCATATGAAATTGACTCGCACCGCTAGTCGCAATCCGTTCCGGTTCCCGTTCCATTTCCATTTTGTGTCTTCGCGCACCTTAGCATAAATGTCGGTACATTGTGCTTATAAGGTACACTATATACATATATTTATGTAATATATATATACACACAAACACAAACGAACTATACTTGTTTCAATGATCAACAGTGCGATATAGTCGCATCTTAAGACTTATTTTGAAATCGCACACCGTAAATCTAAATTCCGTGAACAAAAATTAGCTCTTTGTTTTTTTTTCCACCTATTATTTCTTACAAAACTCATATCGAAACAATTTTTTTTCAAAAAATTTTTACCATAAATTTTTAAGAGCTAGTAATTTGAGTAAAATTATTGCACAGGATGTGCACAAAAATCGGTACAACAGCAGAAGGTTTCGTATAGTTGAATTGTTACATAACAAAAAATTGAATAAACATAATACAGCGGATAGTAAATATTACAATAGCTTGATAATAACGGTTAATGTAACAACGGTCTAATGTTTAAATTTCTGATATAGGATTTCATTGATATATTTTTAATTCTTTTGATATTGAATGAATAATTATTTGTTTAATTATAATATTAATATAATCATAATAAAACAATTAATTGAAAATAATGCATATGACGTTCCTCTCTAAAAATGAAGAATGATACAGATTCTTGAATAGAATTAAATAAAACAATTTTTTTTTTATTCTCATGTTTAAAATGTCGATAACATATTGTATATGCCGTCAAAAGATGTGACAAGAGATGAATATATCATTTCTATATTAACCTGTTTCTTTTTCATCTGACAAAGAATTGACCTAGTTTAATTTCTAAAGCAAACTTTTTTTTTTTGTCAACTTTAAGTCAAATTTACCGCAAGTTTCGATGCAAAAATTCTATCGCAAAAATCGAATCAAAATTCAATTTATACACACGGAGAAAATTTATTGTATAACACACGAAAAAAAAGTAGAGAATTTTTACCCCAAAATCGGTTTTTGTTCGACTTAAAAAATTTGATTTGTTTTTACAATAAATTTTTTGTTCGGCTAATAAATCTATAGTTTGTTATTGCAATAAAATTTTTGTGTATAACAGTAAAGTATTATTTCCTTTCTGTTAATTTTTCTTTTTTGTAAAATTATTTTCTTCCTCCTTGCATAAGAAAAAAGCTTAAATTGTTTTTTTCGGAACTTTATTGCACTGAATAAATTGGACTCTATTCTAATAATACTCGGATTTTGAACTTTAGGAATAAGGCTTCTTCTGTGTGATATACGATGGCCTATATAGTCGTGTATGTATTTTTACCTACTGGTACTATATAGCATGTGTAGTAAAAGATGTCGTCTAGGCCCTACAGTATATATTACAGACATACGAGTTTTGAGCTTGTTTCTTGATTATTCTTATATACATATTCACATTTATTACATATGTCTCCTGTGAAAGCAATCTATGTTTAACATGCAATTAATTCAGTTATTTATGAAACAGAATGAGTCGATTCTTCTCATTTTCAATAAGAAATATTTTATACAAAACGAAATTTATCCTGTAGTTGAGAAAATCAAGCAAATAATTTTACATAAAATACTTTTTATTTTACTAAACATATAGAATTTTTTTTTTATTTTTCAAAAAACAAATTTTTGATTATAAAAAATGAAAAACCAAAAATGAACTGCGATATTTGGTTTTTTTTATATTATTTTATCTATATAAAAAAATGTGTGTGAGAAATATTTTCTGATTCACCTTTTTCAAGATATATATTTTATTCAAGCTAAAATCATTTGCAGCTGAATCAATTCAATTGATTATTTAGTTTCTCGAGGAAAATTATATATATTTTAATTCCAAGTGATATCGATTAACACAAATAACTATTTTAGTCAGTTTCATTATTGCTGTTTCTCATTTTGTTCAACTTTTATTTTAAAAAAATTTAATTCCAAATTTAAAAAATGAAAAAAATCAATTTTTAAAGATTCCGTTACAATATTTCGTGATATTTTCGTGACCTTGAATATTACCTTAAGATTCCGTTATAATTTAACAAAATTACAGGGTACTGGTATTATTACTCCATACTTAATATAAATATAAAAAAAAAATAAAAGAGAACAATCAAATTGAAGAGTTTTCTATAAAACTGAATTAAAAATAACTAATTGTTAGTAAAATTTTGGCTGACTTTTAGCTTCAGCAATTAATAAGAAATTATTAGTAAATAACTAATTTTTCATATAAAAATAACTGTAATAAAACTAAAAATTACTAACTAAATATAAAAATAAAAAAAATGATTAAAGACTACTCTCTAAATCTGAATTAGTAGTTTTCTACTAATGAAAAAGTGTGTATTCGTTTACCAATTGAATTAGTAACTAACTACTAATTCATGGAGTAAAATCGTATTTTTTACTATTTCAAATTAGTAAGCCGATTTACTCCACGAATTAGTAGTTTTCTACTAGCAATTAGTAGTTTTTTTACTAAAAATTAGTCAAAACTGTTACTAATTCAATTGGTAAACGAATACGCACTCTCTTTCATTAGTAGAAAACTACTAATTCAGATTTAGAGAGTAACTGAATTAGTTACCAGAAATTTTATTTATTTTAACATAACCTAAAAGTAAATTTAACTAATAGTTAGTTATTTTCAAGGATATTACTATTTTGAATTGACAGTTTGCTATCGCAAATTAGTTATTTGTAACTAATTCAAATTTTTGAGAGTAGTATAATTTTCTTTTATTATTAATCTAAATACTTTAATAACAAATATTATTATTTTTCTTTTTTTTTTTTTAAAAAAAAAGAATACCACACTATTTATTAGAGAAAAATCCTCATCTCTATGTACAATGGGTATTGTAACCAGTGACTTCCTGTTTTCATTTTCTTTCACTCGGCTCTTTTTTTTTCGCTTTCGTTGTCTTTTTCGTCCAACTATACAATAATGAAGTCTACTACTGCACTTTTTTTCAACCAATATCCGCGATGATATTACATTGACTTGGCGAAATAAATTTTAATTATAGATTTATTAAAACCATACTATAGTAAAAAGTGAATATTTTTCTTAAATTTCTAAAAAATCTAGGTATTGAATTTTTGTTAATTATTATTGAGATTTTTTATATGTATTCTCGAAATTTGAATTTGGTTAAAAATAACTAATTTTTAAGTAAAATTTTTTGCTTCAACGCAATTATGTAACTAATTTTAATCTGAAATAGAAATTAATTAATAATTAGTTATTTTTTAAAAGTTTAGTACACTGAGAAAAATATGCTATTGAATCAGGAGCATTTTTGCCAAAGGTATAAAAATTATTGATTCAAAAGAATATGCTATAAAATTTGTAAAATATTTTATAGATTCTAAAGCATTTGAATCAATAATTGTTATACCTTTGGCAGAAATGCTATTGATTCAATAGCATATTTTTCTCAGTGTATAGAAATATTAATAATTAAATCTGACTTTTTTGCTATCTAGTTATTTTTAACTAATTCAAATTTAGAGAGTTGAAATATAAGAAAGATCTATTATAAGAGATGAATATAATAGAATTTCATTCTTAATAATTTTGATGTAAAAATTTATATGGATTGGTCGATGTACTCGCGCACGTCTAAGTACTCTGACGACCTCGACTCGTTGCTTCCAAGGTAGTTAGGTATGTGGTTTGCGTGACGTCATTTATCCAAGGTCGGGTGATGAACCCATGAAGAACCATTGGTTCTCCAGCATCCAATTCCATAAGATTTTCCCCTAGCCCTTATCTTTAGAAAGATCAGCTTTTCTCCCATTGTTTTAGTATTATCTTTTGTATTTTCAAATTTACTGGAAAAAAAAGGTTTTGATGTGGAAATTATAAAAGAATATTTTATTACATACAAATATTGGAGTAAACATTTTTTGTTAGTCATTTCATTTTGCATTATTAATTTCGTGGTTGATTTCGATTTAAGATTAATATTTGTTTTGTTTTGTTTCTTTCAATAAATAAAAAAGTTTTTTCTCGTTATGAGAGCAGGTTTTTTTTTTTATAACAAGATAGACATTTTTTATTCGACCCTTGTACCTTTGGGTTTGATCGATATTGTAATATTGTTTCCTCGCAACGGTTTACCTGCGTGTCCGCACAAGTTCAACGATTAAATTGTTCATCTATCGAGAGTTATTGATAATAACCACATCGATATATTAAACCACACAATTCAATATATATATATATTGTAAATATTTTTTTTTATTATAAATATTGTTATTTCTATATTTTGTTTTTAAATTAAAATTTTCTGTAACTGATGGTATATTGATTTCAATTTCGATGGGATATCATTTTCAGCTCCGTGGTGATTCACCTTTATAATAGAAATTGAAATCAATATAATATCTTGATATTCTAGATTTAATCGAGGTTGAAATGGAAAATTACATGCGGTATTAAAATTTTAATTCAAAATAACAAGAATTAAGAACGTTTATACCTAAAAATGTAGAACAGAAAAAATGATTAATTTACATTCTAAAAATTTAGAATATTATTATAATGTCCGCCTGAAGAACAGATTAAAAAAAAAAGTTTTGAGTCTCTATTTGTTTCAAATACAGTTTATTTGATTTAAATAAAAAATTTTATATAAATATTTATTTAATATACAAACCTATATTATTTGAATCAAATAATTTTTATTCATAAAAAATTTTAAATTACGTCCGACACTTGTTTTTCATTTATTTATAAAATTTTCACTTATTATTTTCTATGTTTATTAATTGAAATTTGTTTTTCTTGTTACAGGAATCGATCAACAATCAAACACAAAAGTGATGTCAAATATATGTGAAAGTGTTTTACAAAAATCAAATTAAATATATTTACTATGGCGGGACATGAAAATTCTTGCCAATTGTAAAATTTCAATGTATGCTTCAATTTTGATTTTTGTTTGTGGAAATTGAAAAGGAAAAAGAAGAAGAAGAAGAAATGTGAAATCTTTTGTTTGTTACAATGGTTCGGAAAGTTTCGCGTGATAAATCACACGTACAAGCTGATGATCCATTAATTATTGTCGTTGGATTTTAACGATTATGACGGAATATTTGGATCAACATTTAATTCGGGCTCTCTGCCGTGATCCAGATCGAAGAACACTTCAGGTAAATGAAAAATTCTTTTTATATTATTAGCATTTTTTTTTTTTGTTTTAATTTCAAAAGTTAATTTTGAAAAGTAAACAAACTTTTTAAATTGTTAATTTCAACGGATGCTGATGTTCCAAATGTTTATGGATTTTTAAAAAAATATTCGTTTGCATGAAAAATTATATGAAATCACTTTTTTGTATTTTATAAAAACTTGATTTAAAGACCAAAGTTTGCGGGTGGATTAAAAAAATTAATTAAAATTTGTTTTTTTTATATATAATGGAATAGTTTTAGACTGTAATTTGTTTTTCGGTATATAGAAGAAATAAAAAACGATCTTTAAAACCTCTCTCGCTTCCTCTATATAACTTTCTGATTTAACCTGAAGAGAATATATTTAAGAAGGACACACACAAAGTTTGAAAGGCGATTACTGAAACAAGGTCTTTCAAACCAAGAATATATATTCAAACTCCCTTGATGATGTCTCTTCTATAACGGTATTTTTCGTGTGACAATGAAAGTATTTTTTGTGTACCCATCGTTTTTCACGTCCTTCACTATATGGCGCTAAACACCTTCTACTAATTTGATGAGAGTTTTCAAATTAATGATTTCCTTTTAAGACCAATAACAAAGATAAAAAAATAGAAAATAAAAAATATACAAAATATTTAAAAATAATTATAGAAATATATATATATTTAAAAAAAATTATTTTTATTTCTCTTTTAGTTAATTAGTTATTTAGTTATAGTAAACTATACTGCTGCTAATTTATACTATTTTTATTTGTTGAAATAACTATTTTAATAGTTTAACTAATTAGTTTCTTGTAATAACTATTTAACTCTTTGAGGACCAAATTATTTCTTAAATAATCGCGATTTTTGATTTTTAAATAAGTTTTTCAGCGAAATTAAGTAAGGTTATTTGTCTCAAAACCAGAGTTTAGAATGGGAAAATTAGACTAAATGAAAAACATATTTAGTTTTAAAAAACAAGGATCTTATGCTTAAAATAACAAAAAAATTGTTCCCTGAAAGCAACAATTGTCCTCAAAGGGTTAATTAGTTACCTTACTAACTAAATGGTTAGGCTGACTAATATTAAATGGTAACAATAATTAATATAAATTAGCAAAAATACTCTTACTAACAAAATGGTAATTGCAACCAATCGTTTATTCTCTATTAACTAGAAAATACAATGAATACATATATTTAATTTTTATTATAAACCAGATGTTAATTTTTCTTATCAATAATTGTCTATTATAATCATTTGAGATTGAGACACATTATTAGTTGGATCTTTAAAAATTGTGAATTTAAATTTGAATAAATCTATATAGAGGGATTTTCTGTGTCGTGACTGCAAAGGTGAGATTCTATCTCATCGTCAAGGTCGTCCGGAATTCTTAGCGGGCCCAAGCGGACGTTCCATTTTGAGACCTACAAAAAAAAGTCGGTCACGTGACTCTCATCTTTTCATTTCTGAATTAAAATTTGTTTATAAACATATAAATATTATCAAAGAGGCAAAAATGACGGCATTTTTTAATTAAAATTTTTATTTTATATTGAATTGGAATTTATTATTTTATTAACATCTGACGTATTTTTGTAAAAAAAAGAGTAAATACTAAAACAAAAAAAAGTGAATTAAATAATTATTAAAGAAACAACTTTTTTTCTGTTAGGTTTCTCTTATCAAGTATGAATTACAATGTTGAATAATTATAGAGTGAAAAATAATAGTATATTTTTTAAAAGGAAATAAATTGATAAGCAAAGGATATTTTATAGTTTATATGGTGACATACGTATATTGAAGTAAAGTTTCTGCTATGGTGTAATGTATATATATATATATGCCTCTTTGATTCTTGCATTCTGTGTACTATTACATGCAAGCTAAGCAACAACTAGCCATGCCACCTTAGTATTTTATGCCACTATATAGCTGTACTTTCGATCGTCCTGTACCACGCGACGTTATAAAGCAAACCTGACATTTAACCGCAAACTATATTCGATGCTATCTGAAAATAATTATTTCGATAAATGTACTACATATACAGACGTTTAATTTCGACAGTAATTACATTTTTTTTATAGTTAAAAAGAAAAAATCGTAATATTTTTGCAAAATATATATACAATATTTTAGTTCAAATAACAGTCAAAGAGAAATATTGAGGTTTAAAGTACATGTAATAAAGTTTGGAGAAAGTTCTATAAAAATTTAAAAAAAAAAAAAAAAATTGAATAAAATTGTAAATAAAACCTTTTTTTATAACATAAAAAAAGTCATAAAATAGTTTTTAATCAATTAAACTTTTTTCTTATAATAAATTTTGTTATAAATTTTTTTTTCTCTGAAATAAAAATTTATTTGGTTCAAATAATTGGTTATTTGACTATTATCAAATAAATATTTATTTATATATTAAATAATTTATTATACAAGTAAATATTCGATTATTGTTAAGTAACCGATTATTATTTGAATTGTATATAGAACATCTAAATTTAATAGAGTTTTGATTTAAAAAAAATTCGAGTGTAATCGTGAGGGTTCCGATTCGGTAACTTCGATTGTACTCCGAAACGATTAGTGGAGAGAAAGACATTTTTTTTTTTTCAGTGAATTGTAATTAAGTTTTGTGTATCATGTTTTAAGTCTTTGTTTGTTCTTCTTTTGTTTCAGGATTTACAGATCATTTATTACGGTTTGCTGGGACTGGAGGCGTTACGACCCTGTAGGGATTCCGTTCTTCGTGGTCTTTGCAAAATAGTTCGTTACGAGAGACATCATGCCAATCATGTTCTTTACTAGTAAGTGACATTTTTTTTTAGTATACATTAAAATTTTATTTTGTGAAAATAATCTAAACTCATGTTTAAAAATTAAATTTAATTTAATTAAATTTAATATTTACTAAATTTAATTTAAATAAATTGAAAATTTACTAAAGTTAAATTTACAAAATTTTTAATTTAAAAAAAAATTAATTTCATGTTTTTATTTGAAAAAAATCGTTTTTTTTCCTGCAATTTTCTCTGAGTAAATATAAAAATACTTGAAACATGTTTTAGATAATAAAAAAAAGTAAATAATCACAATGTCCACGTGCTATTTTAAATTATTTTCACATTCTTCTACGGATGGCGCCTCAATGCAGACGTAGAAATCTATGTTATCATTGTTGGAAACAAAACTACATTACCGACCATTTTTGTTACCTACCGTCAGTAACAAGTTAACAGCAGAGTTGGTAATTGATATCAAACAGAAAGAGTTTTAGTTTTCAAACGCAGCGCATAGATATCGCTCATAGTACTTTTTAACATTTTTGTAAATAATTACAATTTGAATTTTGCTCTTTCAAATTTTTAAGAATAATTTTCCTTTTTCTATATATAAAATTAATATTATTTATCAAAATTAATTATCAATATTTAAGATAAATAAAATTTATTTTAAATCGAATAAAAATATATTTCTCTCTGATTCTAATAACATTTTTAATGGTTTGGAATTTTTTAAATTTGTTTAGCGCAAATGAAATTTCTATTCAAAGCAAATAAAATTCATTTGTAACAAATAAAATCTATTTAAAACAAATAAAATCTATTTGAAGCATTTAAAATCTATTTCAAACAAATAAATATTTACTAATAACTGAATAAATATTTATTAATAAATAAATAAATATGGATAATATTTTACAATAATTTATGAATAATTAATTCAATTAAATATTTGTGCAAATATTCTTTAATATTTAATTTTCATGAAATTGAATTTGCCTTTAAAATTATAGTAAATAAATAAATTTTCTCTCAATGTAAATATTCATTGTACGAATTTCATAAAATGTTTCCAAAAAAGAATTGAATTATTTCAATTTCATAAATATTGTAAAATAATTGTAGATTTTCTTTGGTGCACTTGCCAAAAAAAAAAAATCGAGATAAAAAAACGATCGTGTTCCGATATATATACGAAAACGATCGTGCAAGACAAATGACGAAGAAAGAGAAGCGAAAAGAGACTCTCTATTTTTTTTTCTCTCTTATTGCACATTATAAATCACAGAACAACTGCTTTCAGCACTGGCGAACTTGCAACCAACTGGTACATTCTTCTCTCTGGTTCCGTGTTCATCGATGGTTCCATGTTTCTACCCCGCTCAAGGTAAGGAACCATTTAATATATTGTTTCTCCTATATCAAAATTATATGGCCGCACATGAGGAAAAAAATTTATATTTTTTTAAGGGAGAATTTTAAAATAATTTAAAAAAAAAAAAATTATTTGATTCAAATAATTGGTTTTTTTGACTAATAAATAAATATTTATTTGTATCAAATAAAAAAATTATTGGTTCAAATACAGTTTATTTAATTCAATTATTTTAGTTTCAAAATTTATTTAGTTCAAATAAATATTTATTTAATAGTCAAATAATCGATTATTTGAATCAAATAAATTTTTTTTTTCACTGTACTAAATCGATATAAAGAATATACAAAAAAGTCATTTTTTCCGCGCGAGTGTGTGCTTCATTCGTAAAGGTCTTTTGCAAATGGTAATCGTAGGAAAAGACAATCTTCTTGCACGATATATATGTTTCATATCCGTGGGATTTTTAATATACATTTCCTAAAGGGTAAAGCGCACCCCAATGACGTATAGAATTCTATTTATAAATATCTCTGTGCATTTATTTTTCGAGATCATTTATCAGTTTATCTCCTATTTTATAATAAAATTCAATTCACATTATTATTATTATTATAAATTGTTATTATTTTTATTATTATTATTATTATTATTATAAATTGTTTTTATTTTTATTATTGTTATGATATATTCTTTAAATGAGAAATTTGAAATTAAAAAATACCATTCAGTGAGAATTTAAAAATATTCTTATAGTAATTAAAAAAATATTGCTATATTAGAAAATATTCTTAATTCTTCGAAAATACATTTTCTCATTGAGAATGTGTAAAAATGGCATAAATATTAATTTAATAATAATATTAATGGAGGGAAAAAATTGACCTACATATACAGACAGACATATTTAAAAAAAAAAAAACAATTTTTTTTTTTTTATAATCAATGACTTGCGAGTTATCATTTTGAGATATTCCAGTTTTTAAACTTGTTTCAATATAAAATTGCCCATGGCATTGATTTTAAAGTAGCACACACATTGACGGTTGCATCGTGAACGCTATAAGGACCATGGACATGTTTTCTATCCCATCTTGCCAACTTATAAAGAGTGCGTTTCTCTTGCATTCCTCAGGGGCCGATAAGGAAATACCGCGAATTATTCTCTCGTTTTAACCAGTAACGAGTGAATCGAGACTTCAAAGAGGGAGATCCGTTCAATGACTAGGTGTATGTGTTCTTTTCTCTTTCTCTCTCTCTCTTTTTCTCTCGCTTTCTGTGATTTTCATATATATATTTTATAACAGACACTGATGAGAGTGAATGTTTGTTATCATAACTTTACATAATTTTCAAGTTATGTATTATGCATATTTTATTTGTTTGTTGTAAATTTATATTTTAAAATTATTTGAAAAAACGAATATTAAATTAATGAAATAGGTTTTAAGAGCAGAAAAAATTCCTAGGTGCGAAGAATCGAACCCGGGTCTCCCGTTTCGAAATCCAAGCTACTAACCAATAGACCATTCACGTACGTTAGAGGAAAGTTTCGTTTCTTAGGATTTAAACATTAATTTTAAGCATTTATATTAAAAATAAATATAAAAAAATAAAAAATACAATGAATAAAAAGAAATAAATATAATAAAAAAATAAATAAAATATATAAAAAAATAAATAATTATAAATAAAAAAAATGAATAAATATTATTTACATTTTATAAAAATGAAAAACACACGTAGATAAGAGTTACGAAAAGTGCATATAAAATTTCGATGGTGAACGTTAGGCGTGGCGATTCGCGAATACCTGTATATTCACATTATCGTATGTCTGTACCTGAATACTCAAAGTGCATTCACATTTATATGTTTACCATAGATATTGTGTTATCATATATATATATATATATATTTCTTGATTTGTTTCCAACTTTTTTATATAAATATTGAAATTTTTTTTTTTATGAAACCTCCCTCGAAATTTGCTGACAATATTCCCCCAAGGGGAAAAGAATATAAATAAAAGCTAGATAAAGATACATATACGTGAAATCAGAAAAGTCGGATAGAGATGAGAAATAAGAGCTATAATATACCAGAGAAAGGAGAATAGTGGTGGTAACAATGGCGTAACCTTGACCACAAATGGCCTTTGCCCTCAAATCTTTATCTTATAAAACAACTTTGTTTTGATATCATGAAAATTTGTTATTTCCGGACAAAAAAAATGTTAAACATATTAGGAAAAAAAGTGGTATATTCTATTTTGAGGTTCACTTTTTCACACAAGAATTTTTACTAAACTGTATATGTAAAAAATGAACATCTCTTTTTTCCTGTTTTAAAAAACTTTTTTTAAAAAAAATTTAAAGAATTTATATCAGTGAATTGTTTCCATACTTTGAAATTAAATAAAATAGTAATTAAAAATTCCATTAAATTTTTTAAAAACCATTTAAAAAATTTTTTTAAACCAATTTTCTAATTTAAAAAATTTAAATAATTTGGTTTTTAATTTGACAAGATATATTTTTTGACAATCCAAAGTAGAAAAAAATTTTTAATACTGAAAAAAAATTTATTTGATTCAAATAATCCGTTACTTTTAACAAATAAATATTTATTTAATGTAAGGATAATTTTTATTTGAATCAAACAAACTGTTTCCGAATCAATAATAAATATATTAATTTTTTTAATTGATTAAAAATTTTTTATTGATACAAATAATAAATTGTTACAAAAAAAAATTTGTAATTTAATTAATTATTATTTTTTGTTATAAAAAATAATTATTTTATACAAATAATAGTTATTTGTTAAAAAAAAATTAATTGATACAAATAATAATTATTCCTTAGAAAAAGTAATTATTTGATACAAAAATAATAATAATTTATATTACAAAAAACAATTAATTAATACAAATAATAATTTGATTATTTTTCTTTCCTTATAATACAAATAATAATTATTTATTGAAAAAAATAATTATTTGTTACAAGAAACAATTAATTGATACAAATAATAATTATTTGTTACAAAAAATAATTATTCGATATATGTAATAATAATTGAGACAAATAATAATTATTTGATATACAATAATAATAATTATTAATTATTTTCATCGAAATAATAATTATTTGTTGCAAATAATTATTATTTGATAGAAATAATAATTATTTATACCAAATAAATATTTATTTGATAATTATTGTAACAGATTATTTTAATCAAAAATGAATTTATTTTCACTTTACATAAAAGTAGATATTGAAAATTAATTATCCTTATGCAATTTTTTTTTTTTTTTTTTTTATACGCAAAAATTGAAAATAAAGGTAAAAATTTAAATTACCCCTCTTTAATGTGAAAGTTCGATGGAGAAAAAAAGTATTAATTTTAAGCACAACTTTGCAAATATGTTTTGAAAACTATTTTTAAAAACTATTAATATAAATTTAATATCGTATATACACAGCGAGAACAATTTTAACCCTTTGAAGCCAAACCATCTTTACGCCACTGTTGGTGGCTTTAAAGAGAGGCAAAGAGAGAACGCAACAGTGATTTTATATAAGTATGAGAGAAAAAGAGACATGCATTTCGCGTGAGAGAGAGAGAGAAAACCCAGAAAGAAGAGAGAGAAAAACAGAGACAGAGAGTGGGAGAGTGAGAGAGAGAGAGAGAGGCAAGCCTCACCTCCCGAGAGACTTCCAGTCTTCTCGAATATATTGCCGGAACTGGTGAGCGGCGAGTTCTTTAACAATTAATTTCAAATTGCATTCCAATCTCACTTTAAATACCAATTTTTCCCTAAAAATAATATCCCTTTTTTTTTAAAAAATCAATTTTTATTTTTTATCCAGACAATTTTTTTGAAAAAAAAAATGCCGATCCCTTATGTGAATATATGTAAAAGAGAATGACGACTTTAGAATATATTCTCATAGTGTATGTGTCTTTATAAAATTACATCAAATCAGCATATTTAAATTAACAGAAAAATTCCAAGACATAATATTTTTTCCACTTAAAAATTATTCTATATACAGTGAATAAAACAAAGTGGCAAACATTTTTAATGAGTGAATTGTGTGAGAAAAAAAAAGAAAATGATTGATTAATGCAAGAGGGAAAAAATTATTAAAATGAAGAAATCGAGACGATAAAAAGAGGTTATGAAGAAAAAAAGTGGAACTTGTTTTGCAAAAGTAAAATTGTATTCGAAAAATTGGAACCAGTGACCCGTGGAATATAAAGTGCATATAAAGCTTATGAACATGCATCGATATACGCAAGAGTATTTATGCACTTTATTATAAGTACATACTTGACTCTCCTATATATATATGTATAGATATATATGTACAAAAGTCTCTCCACATTATTAATACAACTACGGCCCTCGAATAGTCTTCGAGTCGCTTTCACCTGCTACAAAACGGAAAACAATCTTGGATATTGTCTATTCACTCACTATATGTTTTCATATATTGTGAATAAAACTCGGAAATAAACAATTTAATCAAGGGAATAATAATAATTAATAATAATAAAAAATAATAAAAATAATATAAGAATAAATAATAATAATAATTTAATAATAAAAAATTAAATTACAATCAACAACAATGGATACAAAAAATAATGATATTAATTAATAAATAATAATAATAATAAATAATTGTAATAATATGAATAACAATAATTTTCAATAAAAAAAAATTATTTTAGAAATTAGTTATTAATTTTTAAATATAAATAAAGAAGAATAATGTTTTCAGTAAAGATTTATTTGAAAATAAAAAAAAATTCCAATGAACATTTTTTTTTATCGAAAAAGTGAAAAACATTATTCAGAAATGAAGCCGGAATTAAACGTTTAAATGAACGGAAATTTCAACATCAAAATTTCTAGTGTAGAGAAAAGAGTGTTGAGTTTCATTTAAACGAAACGAGGAGTGAGAAATTAATTGTCGACGATTGGAATACAGAAAAAA